TATAGTCTAGTTTTTTATATTTTAACTCATAATATATCTATATAAATAGTTTTTCAAACATTTGACTGCAAAGTAAACTCAAACAGTTAATAAATAATGTTTTTAGAATTATTCAAACATACTAATTCGTATACCATATATATGTATACATAAGAGTAAATATAATCTTCTTCTTTGACTTTTTACAATCTTCAATATAACAATTTGATCATTAATATCGATATTTATAGTTATTGTATCTTATGAAAAAATCATATTCAAAAACAATATTTCAAAATAAGATTATTGATATTGCATTTATAGAGAAACAAAAATTATTTTTTTCATTTATCGAGACCAATATTTATAAAATTTGACCAATAAAATCAAATTAAAAGATTAAATCCGAAAAAAAAATAGTACTATGAAAGGGTTTTGAGTTTTGACACTTAATGATATTTTATGCAATTGAATAAAATTTAAAATTCAAATTTGTGACTAACAAAAAATTTCTAAATCAACATTCAAAGAACTAGTATCACACCCGTGCGTTGCACGGGTCATTTTTATGTTATTAAATTCAAATTAGTTTTCAATGATAAAAATGAGATGCAATAAAATATAGAGATTATATTATTTTAAGGTTAAAAACATCATTGTTTTACAAAATTCGAAAGACTTCTTTATAGACTACATTATTGTACAATTTAACTTACCTTTTTTTAATAAGTTCTAATTTTCAATACGTTAATTATTATATTTATACCTTTTTTAATAATTATAATTTCACAATTTCAGCTACTTACCATTTTAACTTCACAATTATTAACTTACTTTCTGGCCATTTTATAATTATTATAAATATAATATTATAATAAGATTTAATAATCGTAAACCTTTCCTTATGTAATCGTAAACCTTTCCTTATGCGTTCCTTCCATCATTTTTCTCGCTTCTTTCCTTTTTTATTATGTTCACATAAAAAAACACATGGTTTTAAATCTTTACGTTATATCATTCTTTTAAGCTTTCTTTTATTTTTAGGAAAAGTCATTATGTTCTAGTGCTATTTAAGTAAATTTTTCTTTTTAAAACAGTAATTTGCGTATGAATAAATATTGTTTTTCTTGTTATCACGTACTAAAAAAATAACCTCCTTTTTCATATGAATAAATTTCCTTTTTATCACATATTAACATAATAATAATATAAAAATTCTATATTTTTTTCACAATTTTTTGCCCTTTTAATCTGTTTACAAAAAAACAAATGGTTTTAAATCTTTACGTTATATCATTCTTTNTGTTTGCCATTTTTAAAATAACCTCTTTTCTTGTATGAATAAATTTCCTTTTTTATCACATATTTAAAAAATAATAATGATATCAAAATATAAAGTAAATTTTTATTTCTCAATTTTTTTCCTTGTTAATCTGTTTACAAAAAAAACACGGTTGTAAATATATATGTTATATCCTCCTTTGAAGCTTTCCTTTTTTAAAATGCTAATTTTCATAGGAATAAATTACCTTTTTTTACACGGTTGTAAAAAAATAAAAAATTATCAATAACACCCTTTATGTTTCTAGAAAAAAACACACGGTGGTAAAAACATTCAATTCCTTCCTTTAATATATCCTTCTAAATTGGTAATAATACACAACCAATCATAACCGCAGATCTTTTTCGTACATTGATATCAACGGTGCAGGATTATAGTGCATTGGGCGGGAAAAAAATTCCCCTGCTTTTAAGAATAGAGTGATATAATTATATCGAGGATGTGATATAATTGTTCTCTCTTATAAAATATAAATTACTTATGGTAAGAATATATATGTTCATTTTGCGTTTATTCTAAATGGAACAGATCATGGAATAATAGTTAAAAGTTAACATTTTCATATTCTAAATGGCAATAATATTTTAAGAGAATAAATTTTTCAAATTAAAGTTACTAAAAATATGTATGCATTTAAAGACTTGTGTATCAATGCATAAATAAGGCACGTGTTATAAAATGAAGAAGCATTATTTTTTCAATTAAAATATTTTCCCATTCCAGTTATAGGTCATTTTTTATATTTAGTCCCTACATAACAAATGTCATTAATTTAGTTACTAATTATTATATTGTGATGGTGTAAATTATCTCGACTCGTGTATCTTTTTTACCCGAGCAAGAGCAATAAACTAGTTTAACAAAATACACAAAAATACAAACATAAGATTTTGACATGAAAACCCAATCTAGAGAGAACTACGAGTCTTTTTTGGCGATACCTTTCCAACAGGAGATTTTTATTATTATTGAGGGTTGGATACGGTACATTATTTAGGCTTAGAATCCATTAATGGAAGTTTGAAGCTTTTGAAAAATAAAATATACAATGAATAATATATATATACTCACCAATTAATTGCAAAGCTCACTTGAAAATAAAGCAAAGCTCACCACTTCGAGCACCAAAACTCACCATTTTTAAAAATTTTTAAAATTAAAAAATTAATTAAAAATAAAATAGTCGGGGCAACCACCTGTCAACAAAGGCGACTAGCGGCAGGTGGTGGTGGCCTGAGGCAGTGGCGCGACAGAAGGTGGCCGTGGCCGACGGCCGCAATTAGTCAAAGGTGGCGGTCACAGGTCAAAATCTAGTTCGCACCACTTCCTTTGATTTTATTTTTTTAAAAAAATCAACGACGATGAAGACTTGGGCTGTAGTTTCAGCAACGGCGTACCTGAGGGATGGTGATGATAGATTTCGACAACTGTAGCTACATCGGGCTTAAGCGCGAGTCGCGCTAGTGTGTGGATCTCAAAATTAGAGGTGCAAGCAAATGATCTAGAGCATACATTGACAATGGTGGAAGGCCCTAACGTCTGAGATGGTGGAACATTCTAGGGCTTCTCTCCCATTTAACTATCTCTCTGTGCTCTCTTTTTTCAGTCCCCCACGATTTTCTTCTTCAGCAAATGGAGTGGTTTTTTTTTTAAGAAAACAAAAGGGTCTTCTTTTACCTGCTGGTATTTTCGGACAAATTTGGAGGTACTTTGTACCATAAATGATGGTGTAAATTATCTCAACCGGTTATTATTCTTATCCGGGCAAGAACAATAAACTAGTCTAACAAAATACATGAAAATATAAACTCAATAACCTTAACGTGGAAATCCAATTGGGAGAAAACCACGGACCCTTTTTGGCGATACCTTGCCAACGGGGGATTTTTATTAATATCAGAGGTTGTACACGGTACATAATTTGGGTTTAGAAGCATGAGAAGGAAGAGGCTCCCCCTTCTTGGTGGAGTAAACCTTCATTCTATAGGAGCAACCGGATCATCTACGGGGGAATATTCTCTTATTCCCCCATTTTACTAAACATGTCTGTTTTTATTGTTCTTCGTGAATAATTTGGAAATGTGGGCCAAACTATGTATTATTTCCCATTATATTGTTTTCGACGAATGATCCTCTGTTAACATTCCCATTAAGAACATAGATAAAATCATGAACTCAAACTCCTCTCTCTTTTCAATTAAGTTTCCTCCCTCATTTCGTACTTTTTCCCAAATCCGTTGCTGAGTTTGAAGCTCTAACCCAAAAGCGAAACCATCACTCTTCTCCAAATTGTCCATCTTCCCGGTAGAACCCAAAATCGAAATCAGTAACCTTCATGGATGAGTTTCAAGGTTTGTTTTCTTTACAATTTCCTGAGACTAATACATAAAATTCATCCGTGAAAGTTATTAGTTTCGATTTTGGGTTTCAGGAAGACAAATAATTGAGAGAGGAATGATGATTTTGATTTTGGGTTCAAAGCTTCAAACTCAACGACAGGTTTGGGAAATAGTACGAGAGAATGAAGAAAGTTTAATTGAGGAGTGTAGATTTATAATTGTATCCATGTGTTTAACGAGAATATTAAGAGAGAATCATTCGTGGAAAATAGTATAATAATTAAGGAGTAACTATTAATACGAAGTATTTGACATGTGGGGACTAATTATAGAAAACGATCTATATTTTGGAACCTCTTATATAATTTACTCAAAAAATTTGTAACCAGAACAAATGATCTACATGGGTAGAGACATCATTTTTCCATAAACCCAACTTTCTACTTTAGAAATATCTTTTGTGATGGTTAAAGCTAACCTTTTGTGTTTAAAACTAGATTTAAACCAATAATTTACTTTTTGGAATCCCTCCATCCCGTTGGGATATACTCTTGTCTTGTTTGAGATTGAAATTCATTTCTAAATACACCCTAGTACAATCTTCTTTCTTCCTAAAATCTATCTGTCTCCTCGCTCTTAGCTTCCTATCAGCTGTATCAGTCAACCATGGTGAGCTAGGTTTGTTTATCTCTTTTAATTTTTCAATTTTGGTAAACCATATGGTGATGTCATAGGCGGCAACTGACGGCAAAGGAGAGTCAAACAGGCTTCAGCTCTACTCGTACTGGCGGAGTTCGTGCTCTTTCCGTATTCGGATTGCTCTCAACCTGAAAGGCAAGTTTCCAATTTATCCGCACACTTCTGTCCAGTTTCCTTAAAAAATTTAATTCAAAAATATTTGCAGGACTGGATTACGAGTATAAAGCTGTTAGCTTGATCACCGGTGAACAATTCAGCCCTGGTTCGTCAAGTTTTTTCACAATTTTCCCTAATTCATCACAAAGCTCAATTGCAAATCTATATGTCTCGGCTTGTCATTTTTTTTTTGAAAGCAAAAACATGCCATTAACGAAATAAATGCGAAATACAAGCAGGCGGATCGGAAGGCCAAACGTTGCCTCCGTCCTCAGAGTTCTTAGCCAAAACATGCGCAATAGAATTAAAACGCCTTGAAAAGTAACAGAAATGAACCTGTGAAAAAGAAGAGGCCAAGAGCCTACACTCGCTCTCAATAATTCCCAAATACGACCGGTCATCAGCTTGCCTCCTGTTTAAGGCCTGAATGAGCAGCGAACAATCTGAAAATAAAGCAACCTCTGTGACTCCCCTCTCCTTGAGCCAAGACAATGCTTCCTTGATTGCGAAAGCCTCCCCTACTCTAGCCTCAAAAGGACAACAAACAATTCTACTAAAGGCACCCCCAAAGGACCCATCCTCCCTCAACAAGACCGCTGCCACGCCAACCGAATGTGAGCGCACGTGAAGAGCGGCATCCACCATACATTTGAAACCCCCCCACGCTGCCACCTGATGCGAGGACGACGCAAGGGGCGGGTCTGCCGCAGTGGTTAGTAGCGCCGCTGTTGCCCACTCCGCCACGACAAGCGGCCTGACTACCTTCTTCTCCCATAAAGCTACATTTCTAGCCTTCCATATTGCCCAAGTACCTGCCACAAACAGCACAATAGGGCTGCCCTGGGAGTTGGAGAACAACGCCTCTGCCCAAGAGACAAAACAGCCGTGCGCCGCCACAGTAATCTTCGATAGCTCCAGACCGCAACAGCCATAGGACAAGCCATAAAGACGTGCTCAAGGGACTCTCCTTCAGCACCACAAGTCGGGCAAATATTATCAAGCTCCACACCCTTCTTCGTCAAGATTTCACAAAGTGGTAAAATGCCTCTCAAGGCCCTCCACATACAAACATTAACCTTGGGGGGGACCTTCAATTTCCACAGCATGCACCAGTGCGTAAACCCCGTGGCATTAGTAGCTTCCCCCGCCAACTTCCGATAAGCCGACTTAACCGAGTAGCATCCAGACGCCTCCAACGGCCAATACCAATCATCCTGTAAAGAGGGAGAGATGGGCACCATAAGTATGCGGTCACAATCGGCTGGATTGAACCAAGCTCTCACTGTCAACTCATTCCACGAAGCCCTGCTATCATTAAGCAACAGCCTCACCGGAAAGTCCGGGCAGAAACTAGGTTTAAGTGTAGGAACCCTCGGATTTGAAGAGTCCCAAAGCCACGGGTCAGCCCAAATAAGAGTACCTTCACCGTTTCCGACTCTACGGCGAATGACATCCTTGATCAATGGTTGTGCCACCAAGATACTTCTCCAGACGAAACTAGGATTAGGCCCAGTGGAGGCCTCCAAGAAGGAGCTCTTAGGATAGTACCTAGCCTTGAAGACCTTAGAGAGAAGTGAGTGAGGCTTAGTTAGCAATCTCCAACCTTGCTTGCCAAGCATTGCTAAATTAAATGCATGAATGTCTTTGAAGCCGAGGCCTCCAAATTTTTTGGGTTTCGTCATCCGCTTCCATGATAGCCAATGGATACCCGAGGAGTTTTTACCATCACTTTGCCACCAAAACTTGTTCATGAGGCCCTCAATTCTTTGACAAGTGCTGATGGGTAAAGCGAACACACTCATGGCGTACTGGGGCATGNAAGACCTTAGAGAGAAGTGAGTGAGGCTTAGTTAGCAATCTCCAACCTTGCTTGCCAAGCATTGCTAAATTAAATGCATGAATGTCTTTGAAGCCGAGGCCTCCAAATTTTTTGGGTTTCGTCATCCGCTTCCATGATAGCCAATGGATACCCGAGGAGTTTTTACCATCACTTTGCCACCAAAACTTGTTCATGAGGCCCTCAATTCTTTGACAAGTGCTGATGGGTAAGGCGAACACACTCATGGCGTACTGGGGCATGGCTTGAGCAACAGTCTTCAACAGTATCTCTTTGCCCGCCTTTGAAAGAAGCCGCGTGTGCCAACCACCAATGCGATGGCGGATCTTATCCAGGATAAAAGAGAAAATCTCAGATTTATTCTTCCCGATGAAGGATGGGAGACCCAGATATTTCCCAAAATCCTTAGATTTAAGCATCCCAAAAAAACTAGCCAACTCGTCTTGCATCAACAGTGAGGTATTAAGGCTAAAGCAAATAGTAGACTTCAGAAAATTCACCTTCTGCCCTGAAGCCAACTCATACACCCTGAGACATTCCTTGACAGCTTGCGCCTCTTCCAAAATAGCTTTAAAAAACAAGAGACTATCATCGGCAAAGAATAGATGCGAGATCGGTGGAGCTCCTCGAGACACCCTGAGGCCATGGATGCGCCCTTCACATTCAGCCTTGGACAGGAGCAAAGATAGACCCTCTGCACACAGGATAAAGAGATATGGGCTTAGGGGGTCGCCTTGTCGAAGTCCCACGGACGGGGTGATGACATCCGTGAGCGCGCCATTAACCAAAGCTCTGTATTTGGCCGAAGTAACACACATCATAACCAATCGAGTCCAAGCCTCATCAAAACCAAGGGAGTGCATAAGGGCAGCCAGGTAGTTCCATCGGACCCGATCATATGCCTTCGCCATATCAAGCTTCAGCTTAACCCAACCCACCTTCCCACACTGCTTCCGCCTCAAGTAATGTCCAGCCTCTGCCGCCAAGAGGATATTATCCGAGATAAGCCTGCCCGAGAGGAACGCTGACTGGTTATCAGAATTCAAAGTTTGGAGAATTGGTTTCATCCTGTTAGCCAGAACCTTAGCAATGATCTTATAGATAACATTACAAAGGGCAATTGGTCGCAAGTCCCCCACCCTCTCTGGAGCATTTTTCTTTGGAATTAAGACCAGTGTGGCGTCACCAAGCCCATCTGGAAGTTCGCCACGCTGCAAGCAGTTAAGGATAAAAGTGGTAAGTTCAAGCCCCACCTCATTCCAACAACATTGAAAGAACGCGGGATTCAATCCGTCTGGTCCAGGTGCTTTGTCGGGGTGCATTGCAAAAAGTGCACTCTTGATTTCCTCCGCACAGAAGGGCCGAAGCAGCTCCCGATTCTGACCTTCCGTGACCTTAACATGGTGACAATCCACCTCCCTCAGAATGTCTTCCCCAATCATCCCCTCCGCCGTGTCCGAAAACAGTTTCGTGTAGAAGTCGAACACGAGAGTGTTAAGGTGGGCGCCCTCCTGCCAAGCACCCCTCTCGTCTCGCAACCTCACAAGTCTATTTTTCCTCTTCCGATGAGAAGCAAAGTTATGAAAGTACTTAGTATTCCTGTCACCTTCCTTAATCCAGAACTGTTTTGCCCGCTGCCTCCAATAAGAGTCCTCAATCTCCAAAGTTTTCCTGAGCTCATGTTCAATTGCCTCTCTGTCCCGCACTACACTGCCCCCACATGGCTTCCAACTGCTTCCTTAGTTGACGGATCTTACCGCCAAACCGGTTAAAGTGGTCCCTGCCCCAGCTTTGAAGCTCCTTCCCACAATAATTGAGGCGTTTGAGGAACGGCATGCTCCCATGTCTGTCCCAAGCACTTGTGAAAACCGTCCGGAAACCATCCTCCTTAAGCCAACAATTTTCGAACTTGAAGCAGCGTGGCCCCCGAGACTGAGTTTGACCACTTAGGCATAAGAGGATAGCTGAGTGATCTGACCTAAGTGTGGCGATGTTGTGGACCACACAGTTGGGAAAAATATCCAACCAGTCATTTGATGCGACAGCCCTGTCAAGCCGTTCCTCCACCCACTCTGGCGAATACTTCTTCCATTCCCATGTAAAGGGGTGCCCCTGCATTCCCATATCCACAAGACCGCAGAAGCTTAAGGCGTCGTTGAACCCATCAATGAAACTAGGGGGTCGGGGATTGCCCCCTTTCTTCTCATGTGAAGCACAGATGTCGTTAAAATCGCCGACCACAACCCAAGGTAACGGAGACCGGTCCTTGAGAGAGCGTAAAAGAGTCCAGGAATCAGAGCGCTGGCTCCATTTGGGATGTCCGTAGAAGCCTGTAAACCTCCACTCCACCTCGCAGCCAAACCTGATTGAGACATCAACATGGTTGAAAGAATAAGATATAAGACTAGCCTGACATTCCTTGTTCCACATCAACACAATGCCGCCACTTCGCCCTGCACTGTCCACGAAAAAGGCGCAATCAAAACTCAATTTGAGTTTTATCTGTTCAACCTTCGCCCTACAACACTTAGTCTCCATCAGGAAAACCAAGTGAGGCTTTTTAGTAGACACAAGTTCTACTAATTCTTGAACTGTCCAGTGGTTGCCCAACCCGCGACAGTTCCAGCTAAGGATATTCATTGCCTCGGCAGGCCTGGAACCCAGGACCCGCCGTTTCATGGATAATGTTGCCATCAATTGCAGCAGAATTGATCTCAACCAGCATCTCATCGTTTACCCCTCTCTTTCTCTTCGCGAACATGCCTGTCTCTGTGTCCTCGCTCTGGGTCCCTCTTAAACACATCATTGTCGACTCAGGGACATGACCACTGCCACTGCTCCCTTGCCGCAGCCAGCGAGCACCAACCTCCGTCACTCTCTTTCTGTTTGCTGCCCTAATCTCATCGTTGTACGGCCATTGATCCGGAGGTAAATCGGACTGGATGGCTACCGCACAATGCTTCCCCACATGGCCAAGGATACCACAAAAATAGCAAAAAGTTCCCAACCTCTCATACTTGAAAGAGACCCACGAGATCGTGCCATCCCTCTTCGTCAACTTCATTCGTCGCCGGAGGGGTCGTCGTACGTCAATAGCCACTCTTATCCGCATGAAGGACTGATGCACAACCTCAAAGTTGCGCTCATCAAACTTAATAAAAAGACCAACAAAATTCCCCACTGCCTCAAGAATGTTTCTGCTGGTGTAGCCAAAAGGGAGACCATGTACTTGCACCCAGATTTCCATCTTGTTGAGACCTTGCACGGTAATGTTCTCACCCGGCGTTGGAATGGTGCACAAGAGGGAAGCATTGTCATAAGACCACGGCCCTTCCTCCAAAATACGGACTGCATCCTTCTTGTGGTAGAAACGAAACCATTAAAGATCGTCAGCCCCTTTGGTGATCTCAACACCCATAGCCGGTCTCCAAACTGATGCCATGACCTGCTTGAAAATCTCAAATTTAATAGGTCGATCAGAGAGTAGGCGACCTACCAGCGTGACTCCTTCTTGTGAACTTCATTTGGCTCTACCCCAACATCACGATCGAAGGATAGGCCAATATCCTCATCATTGAGATCCAGATGTGCGAAATTTGATTGGATTCCATGTAGCTCCTTGTCGTTCATGATGGCCGAAACAAAGAAAATACCGGATAATCGGAGATGCACCAGAGAAAAAAACAGAGCAGACTCACCACTGCAACAGAGGCCGACTTGAATCGAAGTGCGGCGGTGGTGAATCGATGATATATCTAGGCCCGACCCTATCATACCCTCCCCCATATCCCACACCCTCATGGAAACCAAAGGACTTAGGTTCAAACATTATGATCCATTTTAGTGAGAATTCAAAGTCCTTTAGCCCGAAAGGCCAAAATAACTTTCGTTTTGACCTAAGGGTTCCTCTAGCCAACCCCCACTCCGTCCAACCCAACCCTAAACATCCAAATATATTTCATTTCCTTTTGATATCCAAAATAAAGTCTCTTCTATCTATTTTAATCTCTGGTCACAATAGGAAACCAAAACAGCCCCATTCATCTTCCAACATCCACCCAACATGGTCCCTACTATGTTCCCTAGTACAACCCACTAAACAACCATAAAATTCCAGGAGAAACATGGTACTTTCTTAACCCTTTAACCACCAAATAAATCCTCATATATGCAGCCAAAGTACCACACATTATCCTTTCCCTTTGTCCCCCCTAGTTGGCTGAACACATCCCCCCCAAATCAGCCCAAAAGAATGATATCCATTCCCCTTGGTTTGCCTTTCATTGGAGACCCTACAACCACACCCATCCCTGATTTTATTCCAATAAAAGGACCTAAAACATGGCTGATATTTCAAGGCTTTGAGAGAGGATGTTGCTAGGAA